AACTATTATGAGAAAATAACAACAGACTTCAAATATGGAAAAAAATAAATGACATAACAGTAGAGTACTGAAACTTAACATGTAACTTTCCCAAGCTGCAACAAAAATAAATACTTCCAATGTAATGTTAATGTTATTGTTCTATCTTATATACATAATGGTTCTTCAAGAAGCTTATCAAAAATGAAGTTAAAAATAAATTCATTTTGGTGCAAACGTTTTGGAATTTATGCACAGCTTCTTCATTATATGCATTTCCATGAAATTTTTGAAGACCTTTGGTATACAAATATATGCATATGTACATATGTATACACAAAGGATCAGTATGCATACGTTTATGCAAATATGTATATGAAATAAACACCATGCTTCAGAATCCAAAGGCAACAATTGGACAGAATGCCACTGTAATTCTCAAAGCATGCTAACACATACAAGTCACTCAGGAAGCGTTTACAATCCAGATGCAGGGGCTCCATTCCAAGCCGGCTGAAGCAGCTGCTGTGCACTTGGAGCTGGGAACTCTGGTAGCAAATGAACCAGCTTTCTCTTTGCTTCCCCTCAATGCACACATGACTTTGCAAACAAAGCTGTTTTTTTAGGAATTCACCATTATTTAGTCCAACTGCCAAGCATTGCACGCGTAAATATGATAGAAAAGAGTTCAAAATTACCCACTATTATCCTCAGGGAATTTCTATTATGGATCCCCTTCTCAGTTGTAAACGTTAATATTATTTATTGACTCAGGCTCGCAGTCAGTGTAATATGCAATTTACATGAGACAGTGACAAGCATATCCACCGTCTAACCCAGATGCTCTACTGGAGAACAATTCCTAGTTCTACTGAAGCTTGACAATGCAATCAAAATAATCTTTGCCTGAAGTAAAGAAACAAAGACCTTCATCTTTTGTGTCAATTTCAGGAATGATTACTTCTCAAATAACCTTGAACAGACTTATATTTTGATTTCTCTGGCACTGCTGAATTTGAAAGAATTCAGAAAACATTGGTTCTGACACAAAGAAAGATTAAGTAGGGTTCTAAAAAATCAATCATTTTTCTTGACAGAAAAATAGAAGACGATACTACAAAAGACTTACGAAAATCAAAAATGTTCCAACTTTTTTCAAACCAACATGTGTTTTTCTTTACTTATTTATCTCTCTTCATATATGCAGTTTTTTTTTTTTTTTTTTTTTTTTTTTTTTTGACAGGCAGAGTGGACAGTGAGAGAGAGAGAGACAGAGAGAAAGGTCTTCCTTTGCCATTGATTCACCCTCCAATGGCCGCTGCAGCCGGCGCACCGCGCTGATCTGGTGGCAGGAGCCAGGTGCTTCTCCTGGTCTCCCACGGGGTGCAGGGCCCAAGTACTTGGGCCATCCTCCACTGCACTCCCGGGCCACAGCAGAGAGCTGGCCTGGAAGAGGGGAAACCGGGACAGAATCTGGCGCCCCGACTGGGACTAGAATCCGGTGTGCTGGCGCCGCAGGCGGAGGATTAGCCTGTTGAGCCGCGGCACCGGCCCATATATGCAGTTTTTAATCCTCTGCTGAGGATTTCTTGAGAAGCTGACCAGCTCCAGAGCCTGAGCACCAATAAAATAATAAAGCAAAGTCGGTTATACTGTGCAACAAGGTATAGCTTCCTAAATCATATCCTAGTTCTGGCTTTTGACAAAAGCCTTTCCTTGCAATCTTTCTCATAAGTCTCTCTCATACCCCATTGCCCAGCCCCTACACCAGATACAGTTGTAATGACCTTGCCTGCAAATGAGTTAGAGATATTTGTTTGACAGAAGCCAGAGAGATAACCAACAAAAGAGAGACAGCTCCCACCTGCTGATTCACTATTCAAATGGCTGCAAAGGCTGGATGGCCTGAGACAGGAGCCAGGAACTCAACCTGGGGCTCCCATTATGGGTGTCAAGAAACCAACTACTTAAGCAATCACTATGTCTCCTACTAGTTGGAAGCTGGAGTCAGGAACTGGAGATGAGAATTGAAATCAATTACTCCGATGTGGACATGAGTGTCCTAACCCTTATCCCATAAACTTTCTCTTTAATTCCATTTTTTTCTATAAGCTGTATGAAGCATCCCAAGACAGTTCAACATCATGGCTGTCAGTACAAACGTTTCAAATTTGAATGGGAGGTTTAGAGTGGGAGGGTCAAGAAGTTAAATTAGAATCAAAAGAAATGAAAATAGTGGTCTATGAGTGCTAGAGACCCGTATCCACTTGAATTTTGAACTTTTTATGCCTTTCTGTGTAAACAACGCATCTATTGGAAGTGATACTTGTGCATATAAATATTAAAATAATTTAAATATCGATTGCCTCAAAGATTGGTCTACAATGCCATAGGATCTGTAAGCTCCATGGACAAAAGGACTCCATGGGAATGCAGCTACCCACGGATCAACCTTCTGTGTGTGTGTGTGTGTGTCTAATTTTTATTAATATAAAAAGAACAGGTTTCATGTGTTTCATAAGTACAGTGCTAAGAAGATAACCATACTTTCTCTCTCCCCCTCTCCTCCCCTCAGTCCTCCTCCTTCTTTCCTTCCTTTTGTTTCTTTAATTTCTGCAGACATCCTTTCAATCCACTCTATAATCACAAGCTCAATTCACCACTAAGGAAAATTTTCCACTAGCAAACAGTAAGAAGACCCTAGTTCCACAGGAGTATAAACAAGGGCTAAAAACAACAATCATATCACAAGATGTCTGTTTCATTCCTATAGATTTTTTTTTTTTTTGGTATATTATATTAACTGTCATATATTAGAGAAAACATGGTATTTGTCTTTTGGGGACTGGCTTATTTCACTAAGCATAACCATTTCCAGCCACAATCATTTTATTGCTAAAAACAGGATTTCATCCTTTTTTTAACAGCTGAATAGTATTCTAAAGTTCATACATTCCACATTTTCTTTGTCTAGTTATCATAGTTGATGGGCATCTGGATTGATTCCACATCTTTGCTATTGTGAATGGATCTGCAATAAACATTGGAGTACAGATACCTCTTTCATATGCTGATTTCATTTTGTTGGGGTAAATTTCCAAGAGTGGAATGGGTGAGGCAAAAGATACCCTAATACACTGTTGATGGGAATGTGAGCTAGTACAACCTTCATGGAAGGCAGTGTGGAGATTCTTCAGAAATCTGAAAATAGATCCACATATGGATTAATCCTCTTAAGGTCAGAGTGCTTTGTCAAGGTTGGTAGCAGGCTAATTATATTTCCTAATTACTTAGTAACTTCAAAACTATCAAACACCACCTTACATGTAGTCATGAGCAAACAGAAATCACTTTTGATTTTTTTTCTTTAGATATGGAACTAAATTGGAAAAGAAGGAGTCATCTACTTTCCATGGCCATTCTACAAAGTACTCCAAATAAGTATCTGATAGATTATTGTTGTCACTCTCTGGGGACAGTGACAGTTTGAGTACAAATGTACCAGTACTTTTGACAGGCACCTTGCTAATGTTGGTAAAGATGTGAGTGAATCTCAGCTGGTTGCCAGAAACAGTTCTGAACACATCACCGACTCAACTTGCTCAACGATTAACGTTCATTAGGTAAAATCAGGGTTATAATTTGCTTCCAGTGAGGCTATTTCTACCTACCCATTTGAATATTGCAATCTGTACCTTTCACTAGCACTTAAAATGATTTCGACTTTATAAGGACATTGGATTTGATTATGTGAGACAGCTACACTCTCATTCATACTTACAACATGAATTTTCTATGCTTGCAAAGCTGAGGTCTTTGACCACAGTAAATTCACTAAAATAGATGCCATGTTGAGGGACCCCAACATTCCTCCTCCTCTCCTGGCCATAATTCCACTTCTGTACACACCTGAAAACTTCAGAAGATGCAGAACTGCTGTACTGAGGTTACCCAGTACGTGGCACTCAAGTGTTACGCACATGTATAGCTCTATTGAGTAAATTAATCTATTTTTACCATCACAGTGCTGTTCTCAGGTTTGTAAGTATAAAATAAAAGTGGAAGTTAAAGAGAAATATTTATCTGGACAACCTACGATTTATAAGTAGGTAGCCACAAAACCAAAATGTTCTGAAATTCATACCTTTTTGGAATTAATCTATGGTATGCACAGTCAGGTACAAACTGGGGTGTGATTAACATCCAGAACTCAAGTGTACCATTGACTTTATATATTCAAATATTCCCTACAGAAATGTTAACATGTTTAATTTTAAGATAAGACTCCACTGTGGACACTGTGTCCTATGATGTATTACCTTTCTAAAATACATACTTAAAAATCTAAATGTGCGAGTGTACTCTGCTTTATTGATTTCAAATTAATAGGCTGTGAGTCTATACGCCTTACTGTCACATAATCAAAGAAAACTTTTCCTTGTCTTATTCAGGAAACGTTTTTCAAAGCTTCCCAATATTTTAACACAGGGCGACTAATAGGGAGGCAGAAAAACACAGACAAGAGATCAGTGCATTGAATCAGAGATGATATCAGATCTGGACTCATGGTCAATTAAATAAGTGAAACTTGTCAAATTGCTATAGTATTCCTGTCTTGTTTATTTGTCTGCTAAAATGGCTTTTTGGACACTTAAATGAGTTACTGCAGGAGATAAAACACGAGATTTAAAAAGTCATCAAGCTGACAGATCATGATAGATATTAATATGATTATTGGTGTCATTTTTCCAGCATGATAACAATTCTGACCTCTCCCATCATAGCGACAAAGCAAATGTTGGCTTTGCTGTTTGTTAATTCAGAGTGCTTGGAGCTTTAGAATTTCAAATTCAGATACTGGAGAAACAAATTTATATTGAATAATATTCCAAACCAGGGAGATTACCTGTAATAGTTTAAAAGTTAAATTCTTCAGATGACCACATTGGATACTGGTCCTCACCACTTACTAATATGTAAGAATGACTTGATTCTTAGTAAACGACTGTAGTTGTCTTTACCTGTGAAGAGTAGGTGTGACCATCTGAGCCGCAAACAGGGTTGGTATAAACCACTGGACACTGCTTGCAAGAGGATGATACAGGGCCTCTCCATTGCTTATGGCCTATTCCCGCTTCTTTCATACTGTTGAAAAATAAAATATGAGTGTTCAGTGCATTTCATTTTTAGAAGTCACACTTACGTTAGCATTATTTCTTGTCTCTGTTGTCATTCTAATTCTTGAATATTAAAGTAGCATCAGTAAACCATATTCCGATTTCAGCATGTTAATCCATCCAGTGCTCTCAATTAGGATCATTGGTTTCATGTCTCAAAGTTTTCCTCGAATAAAGCTAGAACAATACCTTAAGTAGATTCTTCCTATCACATGTAAGCTACAGCTGTGTTTTCCATGTGGATTATTTTATTATATAGCTGTGAGCTGTGTTTTTATAGCTCCAGAAACAGAAGCAACACCTGTTGAAATATGAAGGACTCATTCACACATCTGGAACTCCTTAAAAGTTTATCTTGTGTTCCTTTAAAGACAATATTAACAAAAAACACACCTAAATTCCCTTTGTGCCTAAAAGTGTAAGTACTAACTTAGAGAGAGAACAGTAATAAAGGGCTATAATTTTCTAGAACATACCAGCATCTAGAGAGACAAAATTAGAAGATTTCATGACAGCAAATCCCTCTTTATTGTGTAGAAGTCTCTCAAAATGGATCCAGCAGGCTTTGATCCAGATGATTTGGGAAAACCCACTTGTTTCTGTTACCTACTTAGAAATGTGTTTCCCCACGTTGATCAGACTGCTTCATTCCTATGCCTATTTGTGTCAACAATTTAGGTAGGGAAGGGGTTAAAAACAAGGAAGGAAGAACTAAGGTATCCATTTAATATTTAGAAGTCCTCTAGAAACCCAACACTCGTTCTTTAGTCTTGTTTATAGAGAAAATAATTTGGTATCTATGCCAGAATGAGAATAATATGTTTCCTGTTAATTTTTATATGTTTTCACGAGCAAATCAAACATACAAAAGGACTAAAAAGCACGGCAAGACATGGGTTTCTCTCTCTGCCCCCCTCTCCCACTCCTCCTGTCTTTTTCTCTCCACCTCTCAAGTTAGCAATTAAAAATAATGTTGGGGTGTTATTAGAATATCCTGAAGTTGAAATTAGCTCTTTTAAACTGAAATTAAAAGGTACTTATGAGATGGGATTCGAGGTAAAACAAATTGATTTTTGTTACCTTCAATGTTAACTTGTTGAACACTAAATAAATTGCTCAGATTCCTAAAATACATCCATAAAAATGTATTTTTGTTTGGTTTTAATCCTGATCAGGATGTGTTGAAGTGAAATACAATTATCAACTTTATAATATTTTACATATTTATTTCATCACTTTAGGAATTAATGCCAAACTATACCATTTCCTAAACATTGAATATAGAACTTTAGATGACAAAAAGTGAACAGGAATTCTTGCTTAAATAAATATTATCCATACCATAACATATGGAGAATAGTGAATCATACACTTTTTACCATAAAATCCAAAAGGAAGCACTTAATATTTTGTCTTTGTAAGACAATCTTTAAAGAACAGATTGTACAATTTTCAAAATGGTTGGGAAAGTTTGCATCTAATTTTTTTTTTTTTTTTTTTGACAGGCAGAGTGGACAGTGAGAGAGGGAGACAGAGAGAAAGGTCTTCCTTTTTCCGTTGGTTCACCCTCCAATGGCCGCTGCGGCCAGCGTGCTGATCCGAAGCCAGGAGCCAGGTGCTTATCCTGGTCTCCCATGGGGTGCAGGGCCCAAGCACTTGGGCCATCCTCCACTGCCTTCCCGGGCCACAGCAGAGAGCTGGACTGGAAGAGGAGCAACTGGGACAGAATCCGGCGCCCCGACCGGGAGTAGAACCCGGTGTGCCAGCGCTGCAGGCGGAGGATTAGCCTAGTGAGCCGTGGCGCTGGCCTGGGTCTAAATTTTAAATCTGAAATTCTAAGTTTGTAAGATTTATGTATCTTAAATTATCTCTGATTGATGTGATTTATTCATTAAAAACTAATCATTTATTTCATCTTTTGTAGAAAGTCAAACTATATTTTAACATATACAGAGCCATAAGAAATGCAGTTTTAGGAGCCGGTGCTGTGGTGCAGCGGGTTAACGCCCTGGCCTGAAGCGCTAGCATTGCATATGGGCACGGTTCTAGTCCCAGCTGCTCCTCTTCTGATCCAGCTCTCTTCCATGGCCTGGGATAGCAGTAGAAGATGGCCCAAGTCCTTGGATCCCTGCACCCATGTGAGAGACCTGGAAGAAGCTCCTGGGTCTTGGCTTCGGATCAGTGCAGCTCCAGCAGTTGCAGTCAGTTGGGGAGTGAACCATTGGATGGAAGACCTCTCTCTCCCTTCCTCTCCTCTCTCTGTGTATAATTCAGACTTTCAAATAAATAAATAAATCTTTTTTAAAAATGCAGTTTTGGGAGTAGGCATTTATCAGAGTGGCTAAGACACTACATCCCATATCCAAGGGCCTGTGTTCAAGTCCTAGCTCCACTTTGAACAACAGTGTCCTGCCATTGTAGACACTAGAAACAGCACAGAAAGCTCAACTGGTTGGTTCTCTACCTCCATGTGGATGACCCAGATTGAATTCCTGGCTCCTAGCTACCACCTGGCTCAGCCTCCCATTTGAGAAGCTACCCAGTGAATGGAAGATCTCTCCCCGCCTCCTTCCCACTTTTCTGCTCTCTTCCTTCCAAATAAAATGAAGACAAAAACTTTTAAAAATGCAGTTTTCTAGGTATATATTAATGTTAGAATATGCAAAAATAAAAATAAATTATAAAAATCTTACTTTAAATTAAAAATACTATAAAAACAAATAATCTCACAATGTACTGGTAAGCACCAATGGAGATACACACATGAGACATACATGTCTCTTTGTTTCAAAAAGGAAAACATCTATAATTGAGAAAATAAGGTTTCAATGCGTAAACAAACTAATAAAGTAACACACCAAACATCTGGCAAATTAACTACATCATGAACAAGAGCTTTCGTGTTCTGAGCAACTGATCCATTCAAATAACAGTAGTTCAGTAAAGCTTGGAGAACAAGGCAGCCATGTGCAGCTATACAGGCTGCACACTTGTACACCACATATTTGGTGCATCTAACATTGGAAATAGCTTTACCTGCCTAATGGTGTGTGGTATCTCTGGTTACTGTGGGTGATACTTTTGCATATCCAGTGTCCTGTTATCAAAAGGTATCAAATGGCTCAGAATTTGTTTTATTTGCTATTTAGAAATGCTCCAGCAGAATTAGGGTTCTTCATAGTTTTGTCTATTAAGAAGCTTATTTTTTCCTTGGGAAATTTAGTAGACTAGATGAGGCTAGAACGGAAGTTCTAAGACTTAATTCGATGGCCATGTATTGAATGGAACATGGAAGCATATGTAATGGCATATCAGTGGAATGCATGCTGCACTGTTTGGTTTTCAATCATATTGGAAAGAAATGCATTTTGATGGGGGAGATGAAGTTGTGGCAGTCACTGCACAGGCCAAGATGGGCAGCGAATCTTCTCAAGGGAAGACGACATTGGCTCAGGCTGTCAGAATGGCTGCCTGGCCACTGCCGTGGAGCAGTGACAGGTAAGAAACTGAATCTGGCCAGAGTGGTAATGGGCTTATTATTGTGCTATCCCTGGAGTGAAAGTGATTTCTAATCTGTGTGGGTAAATCTCATGCTAATATACCACAGGACATTAATATGTTGTTAACTTATTTTGAATTATTATCAAATCGGGTGATATAATTTGCTCACATTAATGAAATACAAAAATCAAGATGACTTAAAAACTCTGAATGCATTTAGAAATTATTCTTGCAATGAAAATGTGCTGAAATAAATGTACACCTTTAGCAGAACTACTTTTAAAAAAAACTTTAATTTTAAAATTTGAATTAAAAATTTATATGCTTTGAAATGGCAACCTGTACTTGGCCATATCCTTTCCTTTAAATGGTAAAATACTGTATTTTTGAAGCAGAAAAATGAAATGTGTTATAATAATATTTTATGAAGTCATTCTTTTCCCTCAGAATCTTCCATTTAAAGATTCTATCATACAAGGCACTAAGTAAGTTGGTTTCACAGCAATCCAAACGTTTCTGAAGTTGGAGAAATTAAGCTGATGTAAGGAAATGTGCGCACTGCTGATGTGTTCATTCACATGAAGTTCTGGGGCAGCTGAGTTCACCTGAACTACCAACTCGTGTGTCTGACCTGCCTTCTGCACCGGCTTCTTCATACCTGAGACTTCAGCGTATGCCCCAGCTTCAAGGGGATATGAAAATTCAACCTCTTTCTCTTCTTTTTCTAGTAACTATGATGTTAATTAGTGCTACATCTGTTTATTCAATTAAGGTCTACTTAATTTTCTGTTCAGTTAATGATGTTGCACATTTTACAATATAATTTGAACAAAATTCGCATGTTTGGGGATTTAATTTGACTTTGGAAAGAGGATAAATGATGTTACCAAAATGATTAACAGGGGAAAAAAAATCTCATTCAACTTGATTTAAGTTTCACTTGTACCCATGTCATTAATCAGTCTTGGAAAGTCAGTAACTTTCCTAGGTCTGGCTTCTTCACTTGTACAAGAAAAACTTCATCACTTCATCATGATGGATCATTTGATTGTGAACAATCTGATACTACAAATCTCTATAAAATTACTTATGTGGAGAAATGTAAAAAAAAATGGAAACACACAGTAATATGGGCCACATGTTATAATTTTAGAGTTTAAGTTAGTGCTAGCGAGTCACACAAACATAAAAGTATCAGGTGCAGGATGAGGTTGAATGGGGTAAAAGATTAGTAGGAACGCTGAGGTTGCAATCGTTTGCTCTCTCCAGGTAGCACGCAGCAGACATGGAGAAAGTTCCATCATGTGACAACTAGTGAAAGAGGGAAGACAGAACATGAGAATGTTCTAACAGGCATCACTTCCGTGAAAGTATACTGAAGAAACAAATAACACTGCACTACAATGCTAAGGAATATTGCCAAGAAATCATAAGGAGAGAAGCCAGAGCTGTGGCACAGCGGGTCTG